ATTGGTGCTATATTCATACTCTATTGTCTGTTGACAGGCTGTGCAAACCTCAGGCATCTGATATAATTCTTGATCCAATGTGTGGGACTGGAGCTATACCACTGGAGGTGAGACATTATTTAGGATCCTAACTCTGACCCTGACTGAATAATATACTTGCAAGTTTTTGTTTAGACAATGAAAAAGCACATTGTAAAGGGTACACACAGTGTGTGCATTAAGCCCTCTCTCATGGCATCATTTGTTCACAGTCTAAACTGTGTGTGGTCTTAATACTTCTCAAAATCTACTCATCATTACACTGCACTAATATGTCCAACTGCCCAGATCTACAAACAATTGGAGTTGTATATGTATCCACACTTTCATACTTGAATCTACACACTGCAGAGTTTTAATGTCAAAAGATTAGCAAGTACTAATGAACATATTAAAAAAAAAAAAAAGGAAGAAGAAAACATATGCTTAATCACACTCATCTCTTTGATGTCTGTAATCTGGCATGTTTAGTTTTGAGCAAACTAAACGCTATCAGAAAATAAACACATTTTCTGATTCAACAAGTCGTTTGATTAAGTGGTTTATCATCCTTTTGCCAAAGCTCTGATGCATTTTCATCATGGCAATCATATTCTCCAACCCTTTCCCTGATTGCTACATTGAGCAAATGAACCTAAATACTCAAATGACAAAACATCCTCAGACATGACTTGCTGAATGTTTTGAGGTAGCAAAGTTATTCAGCGATGTTGTTGAGGTCACCGGAGGAGGGTTTGAATAATCACAAAACACAGGCTGCTAATTATGTAATTTTTTTTTTTCTCTCCAGGGGGCCATTGAATTCAACAGTTCGTACTACGTTGCCGGTGACAACAATGACATGGCAAGTTAACGGCACAGTCAATAATATATGTCACATCCAGAAAAGGAGGGCAGACAAGGGCAGGGCATGTTCAGTATTTAGTTTTTAAGAGAGCAAAGAGTTAGAGCAGCACTCATTTAAACATTTTCATGGCTGCTACAATGAGTTGGTTTCAGCACAGGTAAAGAACACGTTGAGGCTTGTTAGGAGAGGAATAGCAGAACTGGTGGATACTAGATGTTGACATGAATAAAATGAGTTAATATGCTTATAAAACATTTTGTATTGGTGCTATATTCATACTCTATTGTCTGTTGACAGGCTGTGCAAACCTCAGGCATCTGATATAATTCTTGATCCAATGTGTGGGACTGGAGCTATACCACTGGAGGTGAGACATTATTTAGGATCCTAACTCTGACCCTGACTGAATAATATACTTGCAAGTTTTGTTTAGACAATGAAAAAGCACATTGTAAAGGGTACACACAGTGTGTGCATTAAAGCCCTCTCTCATGGCATCATTTGTTCACAGTCTAAACTGTGTTGTGGTCTTAATACTTCTCAAAATCTACTCATCATTACACTGCACTAATATGTCCAACTGCCACAGATCTACAAACAATTGGATCAAGTTTCATGATGATCCACACTTCATACTTGAACTACACACTGCAGAGTTTAATGTCAAAAGATTAGCAAGTACTAATGAACATATTAAAAAAAAAAAAAAGGAAAGAAAGAAAACATATGCTTAATCACACTCATCTCTTTGATGTCTGTAATCTGGCATGTTTAGTTTTGAGCAAACTAAACGCTATCAGAAAATAAACACATTTTCTGATTCAACAAGTCGTTTGATTAAGTGGTTTATTCATCCTTTTGCCAAGCTCTGATGCATTTTCATCCATGCGCAATCATATTCTCCACCCTTTCCCTGATTGCTACATTGAGCAAATGAACCTAAATACTCAAATGACAAAACATCCTCAGACATGACTTGCTGAATGTTTTGAGGTAGCAAAGTTATTCAGCGATGTTGTTGAGGTCACCGGAGGAGGGCTTTGAATAATCACAAAACACAGGCTGCTAATTATGTAATTTTTTTTTTTTCTCTCCAGGGGGCCATTGAATTCAACAGTTCGTACTACGTTGCCGGTGACAACAATGACATGGCAGTTAACCGCACAGTCAATAATATATGTCACATCCAGAAAAGGAGGGCAGACAAGGGCAGGTGAGAGTGAGCAGCTTTACATCTCATAAGGAGGTCGTTTCATATACAACTTTGTGTAGCCGATGATCATCATGATGTTTTATGATCTTTTTTTGGATCCTTTCAAACAGTGTGTCTGGATTGCCCATTGACACAGTGCAATGGGATCTGTGCAATTTACCCATAAGGACCAGCTCTGTTGACATTATCATCACTGACATGCCCTTCGGGAAGAGGTACAATAACAGTGGTTTACAGTATAGATACTGAGAAGAGTAGATATTTATAAAGGCTGCAGTATAACAGTGAAATGAACACTGACAATTAAGTAAAATTTTCCTTTGTTTTCTTCAAGAATGGGCTCCAGGAAGAAGAACTGGGACCTCTACCCCTCTTGTCTGAGAGAAATGGCCCGTGTGTGCAGACCAGGCTCAGGAAAAGCTGTCCTGTTGACACAGGACAAGAAATGCTTTTCCAAGGTAACCTATTGCTCTCACAGATAACAGGAATTACAGCAACGATATTCATTTTTTTTCCTAGGAAAAGAATATGCAAACTGGGAGTGCAGGTCTAGTCCTGCCAGTGTCTTCCTGACAATGATTCATTCTAGCAGTTGTTCATTTATTCCAAATGTTTATCCAGATGTAAACTTGTTGGAAGCCTTTGGACACAGCAGACGATCTATGAGGGATACATCTATTCAGTCACCCACAGAACAGAACAAAACTCACGCCAATAAACAAAAATGACCAATGATGATAAAACCATAAAGCTTTCTTAGACAACACAGAGATGTGTAAGTAGGTGCAACCATAAACATACTGGCAACACAATGACGACAGTGCTGAAACAGAAAAAAAGCAGACACGTGTTCCTTGTACAGTAGGACAATGTTTAAGTACAATGTTGTGTACAACGCCCTTTTATAATCAATAGTTTGAGCTTGGATGGAGGTGTGTCAAGATTAAGTACCATGCTATGTGTACAAATATACAACTTGTTGCCATGGATGGTACTAGAAATAATGCCTTTAAATTAGTGACCACGGCACTAAGGGATAGATACCGCAGTGGAAATGGTATTACCAAATCTCTACCTGTGGACACATTTTTACCTTTGCAGGGTATATGCCGTCATATCGCCCAACCCTACTACACACATGTAAAGTTTCGTTACTGTATCTTTCAGGTTGTGATTCTATTGTGGTGAGGAAATCTGTCCACATACATGTAAACACCTGCCAAAGTACTCAAAACCAGCTTTGTGGTCATTACCACTACAGTAGGTGTCTCCAGGACCACATATTAATGATGACACAGACACACAAGATAAGAACAACATTAACCTTGCTGTCGCGAATGGTAATAATTTTCTTGTAGTCACAAAATTTCAGGGACACGGCTGCTCACAATCTTAGCCGATGAGACAGTAGTAGCCAAAATCAGTCACAGGCCACATTCCAAAGTAAAGGGAAAAAAAGCCATATTCCTCAGTCATGCCTTGAACTGGACCTTAACGTCCTTCACATTTTGTTATGTTGCAGCCTTAAGCTAAATTATTTTTTCCCTCATCAATCTACACTCAAAAAGCAAAAACAGAATTTTAGAAATCTTTGCAAATTTATTAAAGAGGAAAACCTGAAATATCAAATTGACATAAGTGCTCGGACCCTTTGCTGTGAAAGATCAAATTTAGCTCCGGTACCTCCCATTTCTCTTGCTCATCTTTGAGATGTTTTTACATTACATGTTGTTCATACATTCCACCTGTGGTCAGTTCAATTGATTGGACATGATTTGGAAAGACACACACCTGTCTATATAGGTCTTACAGCTGACAATAGTTCCCAAGAGCACAATGAGCTCCATAATTATTAAATGAAGTTTCGAACAAGCAACTGAGCAATCAAGGGAGAAGGGCCTTGGTAAGAGAGGTGACAAAGACCATGTTGAGCACTCCTGTGTGGAGATGAGAGAAACCTCCAGAAGGACAACCATCACTGCAGCACTCCACTGAAGATGAGGTTGTTGCCTGGTGGGGTGTTCCTGCACGGGAAGACTGGTCAGGGTTGAGGGAAAGCTGAATGGAGCGATGTACAGAGATATCCGTAATGAAAACCTGGTCCAGAGCTCAGGACCTCACACAGGCACAAAGGTTCACCTTCCAACAGGACAATGACCCTAAACACCCACGAAGACAGTGTTGGATTAGCTTAGGGACAACTCTGTGAATGTCCTTTAGTGACCCAGCCAGATCCCTGACTTCACGCCAAGGGAACCTGACCAAGCTTGAGAGGATTTGCAAAGAAGAATGGCAGAAAATCCCCAAATCCAGGTGTGCAAAGATTGCCATGTCATACCAGGGAAGACTGGAGGCTGGAATCGCTGCCAAAAGTCCTTCAACTAAGTACTGAGGAAAGGGTCTGAACACGTATGTCAGCGTGATACTGATTCAGTATTGACTTTTTAATACATTTGCAAGAATTACTGAAATTCTGTTTGCGCTCTGTCATTATGGGGTATAGAGTGTAGATTGATGAGGGAAAAATGAATTTAATTTCATGGTTAATTCAGCATAAGGCTGCAACCTAAAATGTGAAAAAGTGTAGGCATCTGAACCCTCTGAATGCGCTCTATATGTGACACTGGATGAAAAAATGACAAAATCATAGTGTATTTGTACACTTTAACTCACCAAGCACTGAATTAGGGAACACCATATTAATAGATTGAGCCTCGCTTTGCTCTCAAAACAGCCTCAGATCTTCGTGACATAGATTCAACAAGATGTTGGAACCTTTTCGTCCGTGTTGACGTGGCTGCGTCACATCATTTCTGCAGATTTGTCAGCTGCACATTCATGCTGCCAACCTCCTGTTCTACTACATCTCAAAGGTGTTCTAATGGATTCGGATCTGGTGATTGGGGAGGCCACTGAGGTTCACTAAACTCATTCTCATGTTCATGAAACCAGTTTGAGACGACTTTTGCTTTGTGACGTGGTGCATTATGCTGGGAGTAACCTTTAGAAGAAGGTAAACGGTGGCCATACATGAACATTCCCCACACCATTACACCACCGCCTGTACTGTTGACACAGGGCAGGTTGGGTTCAGGGATTCATGCTGTTTACACCTTAATTCTGACCCAACCATCTGTATGCCTCGGAAGACATTCAGATTCATTAGACCAGGCTACGTTTTTCCAGTCTTCACCAGTTTTGGTGAGCCTGTGGTTAAGGTTCTGTGTATTGTGCATTCTGAGTCACATTTTGTCCACAAGAAAAGTCGTGCTCTTTCACAGCTGTGTACTTTTTTTTGATTTTCCTCATGCTTTAGGAAAGAATGCTATTCTCAACATGACTTGTGAACAAGAACAGTTTTCCACCTCAGAATGGGGTCATGGGTCCCAAAATGCCTCAGTCAGTGACATGGTTTACTATTGACCTTTGTGACGTTTTGTGACTCAACTTATGAGTGTCAAAGCCAGTGTTGATGGCTTTATTTACTACTACAATCCTTCAGCTATCATCATTTGTGAATGTCAGTGTTTTGTGTTTATGCAGCTCTCCATTAAGTTTAAACAACTTAATGTGGTTCTTCTGCTTAAGAGCTTGCGTGCGGAATCAATTTATCCTGAAATCATCCCTAAATAGTCTCACCACCGTTTGAGTGATGCGGGTACAACTCAACTCAGACTACATCATGGAAAAAGACTTCTAATGCTGTATTTGTCTAAGCATAGATCCTGCCTCACACAAAACAAATGTGTCATTTGTTAGTTTGTCCTCACAAGATTTATGTTGTCTCCAGGCTATCTCCAGGATGGGAGGACTGTGGAGGAAGCAGCACACTGTTTGGGTCAATGTCGGGGGTTTACATGCAGGAGTCTACCTCCTCAAGCGCACCGGGGACGTGTTTGGCCAAACTCCTGAGGATGTCTATGAATCACGAGGAACAGTTAATACACAGGAGAATGAGAAGGATGACAAGGAGCTCTCTTAATTCACCTCCTGCATTTAAATTCTGAATTCATATTTGAGGCTATGTATGATCGTCATTATTTATTGTATTTTTGAAGATTTAAGTTCTTCTTAATTCAGGTTTTCTGCTCAACCGTGCCAAGCAGTTTTAATGTCTACTTTTTGTATTTCTCATTTGGTTTAATGTGATAAATGGCGAACTGGAAGAAAGAAGCTATTTTCATGTTCAGCTGCAGTTCAATGGTTCTCACACTGTTTTCACTGAGGTTCATTTGTCATGCTGCTGTTCAGAAACCTCTTAAATCTGCTGTGTCCACTTCACAGGAACTGAACATAGGCATTTGTTCTAATCAATAAAGGTTCAAACTCAGTTTAATGTAAATATTCATTCATCTGTTTGAAGGTGACACATTTACAACATAGACACTAACCCTACATGGAACAGGAAGTTGGACCTGAAAAATGTTTTCATATATTTGAGCAGCTGAAAATGAAAGAAGGGGAAGATCGTGTGTGTGTGTGTGTGTGTGTGTGTGTGTGTGTGTGTGTGTGTGTGTGTGTGTGTGTGTGTGTGTGTGTGTGTGTGTGTGTGTCTGTCTGTCTGTCTGTTCTGTCTGTCTGTCTGTCTGTCTGTCTGTCTGTCTGTCTGTCTGTCTGTCTGTCTGTCTGTCTGTCTGTGCGCGCGCGCGCTTGCATATACTTCTGATCTCACACAACAGGTAGTGAAGTTAATATCAGCTGATATTAAGTCACATATCTGGTTGTTTTTCAGTGACTCAGAGTAAATTACAAAAATATATTTTGTTGTACGTGAACACGAAGTATACTTCCTCTGGCCTCTGGCTTAACCCGCCTAGAACCAGACACCCAAGGGACCTTCCAAACAGGAAAAATCTAGATGTTTACCAGCAAGTGCCACAACTAATTACAAGAAGTCTACAGGAACAAATAGCCTGCCCAGCAGTATCAAATTTAAGGACTTTGATAAGAATGACTACAGGTAACAAATTGCAGAATACTGCTATTTTTTAAACTATAGTTTTTAATAATTTACAAAGTCGGCTAAAGTGCGGATATTTCTCTGACATCTGAAGCGGTTCTTAAGAATAGAACAAAAATATTTTCCTCTTCGTCACGACTCATTTAGTTCATTGTTTAGTATAAATAGTATAAATTCGCTAGAATAAAATAGACGCTGAAAATCCTGCCAAACGGGAATATAGTTTTATTTTTCGATTACTTTATTTCCTTTCCTGATTTTTTTTTTTTTTTGAACGACGTGACTGAGAGCAGACATCGAGCTCGATTACTTGAAGGGGGGTGTGACGCCTACGTCATTGTGGCTGAGGAAATCCAATAAATGCCATGTGAGAGCTGAGGGGATTCCAGTGTCTCTTGAGAACGGAACGTAAACACACGAAATGATCTGGACCATTTGTCTGCTTGTCCAAGCTGCGCTGCTGTATTTCATCCTCACACACAGATCGAGGTAAGTTACTGCTCCATTCACCTGTGTCGTGTTCACACTCACTGTCAATACTATAGACTTAGCTCTGAGCAAAGCCAGGTTGTTCTCTTAACCACTGAAACTGGTTTGTTCTTGTCTTTTACTTCTCTTTAACGCCTGTTTGTCTTTTTGCTGTCAGTATTTTTCATGATGGCAATTTTTATTCATGGCTGATTTAAAAGCCATTTGACGCACATTCAGCTGAGTTTATCACTAATAACAATAATAATAATGATAATAATAACAACAAAATAGTGGTGGTAGTGAAAGGACTCAGCTGAAGTTTGTTTGTTTATTGTGTTTCTGTTCTAATTACAAGGAATGTGGTTAAACTGCTACAGTGTTAAATAAGTCTCCCTGTATGGAAACTGCTTTCTGTTTTCTTTTGAGGCGATTAAAGGACAAAATCAGTGATTTTTCTGTGATGTAATGACACATTGTTCAATTAATCCCTGTTATTGTTAAGATCACCTACACCTTTAGAAGTATAATCACATGATAAAGGGCTAGTCAAACAAACAAAGACTGCACAGTGAGTACGCTGATAGCAGCTGGAAGACTAAATACTAATGTGGCAGACAAGCAAGAAGATGCATGTGAATCACTTTGTTGTTAACTGTTCAGGACTGAATGTTTAGTAGTGTTCCTACCTTTAATGCTGTCATGTCAACAAGTGCCAAGCAAACAGATCAGCCTCTTCAAGTAGCAAAACGCCATTTTAATTATTTGATCATATATAAAATCGGTTTCTTTTTATTTGTTTTTTTTTTTTCCTTTAGATCCAAGAGTGAGCCGCCTCTAGACAAAGGACTTATCCCGTGGTTAGGCCATGCACTTGAGTTTGGAAAAGATGCTTCCAAGTTCTTGAGTCGAATGAAGCTGAAACATGGCGACATTTTCACAGTGAGCAGAAAAAGTCAACAATAATGATTTATTCACGACAAAGCAATCTCGCTTCTGTAGATATTTAAATGATTTAAATTTTGTCTAAGCACTTTAACTAGTATGTTCCATATTAGCTTAAAAATTCAGTCTGTACACATTTACAATACCATAAAAAACAGGCAAACTGCCTCAGCTGAGGAAGGTCATATGATTTCTATCAAAAGCTCTAGACCAAGGTAGAGAATGAACCTTGGGGCGAGATTGTTTTGTGAACTGCTGCTTCAAAAATCAAGATTGTATTTTATTTTTATTTTCATCATGCAATGCAACTTTACAATAGATGATACTGAATGCTCGTTTTGGTTGCTGGGACACATGATGAAAGAGAAGTCGTGTTTGCTTTGTGTGACTTACCTCTCCAAATCTAGAATAAGAATATGATAATATTCATGTAACAACATGTTGTGGATCCCATCATGCAACATACATTTGGATCAGGATACACTGATTTTCAGTTATCCTGAAACAAAATACAAAGTTTCACATTTTTTGAGGGGTGCCAACATGTCATTTTCCAAGACATTTGATCTTGAATTTTGTGTTCATTCAGAAGATTGAAGGAATATTACAATATCCTTCAGAAATGTAATAAAGTGTGGTGAATTTATGTTGTATTATGTTGTGTGATATAGTGTAATGTATGTTTAGTGGTTATTTCTACAAATCAGTTAACAACTCATAAACGCATGCAAAAAGAATTTACTCAGCTTTTGCATTTCAGTGCATTATATCTGATACAGTCACACTGATGCTCTCCAGGTACGTGCTGCTGGACGTTATGTGACGGTGCTGCTGGATCCACACTCGTACGATGAAGCCATCCAGGACTCCGATTGCCTGGACTTCACACGCTATGCACAGGTGCTCATGGAGAGGATCTTCAACCTGCGGCTCCCACATCACCAGCCGCATAAAGCAAAAGCCATGATGACAAAGTATGTCCTCAAAGTACTTTATACTAACTGAAAGCTTCTCCTGTATGTTTTCATTTTCATTTCATGTAAGCTCACGTGGAACATTCTTCCCATTTTCAGAAATCTATTCTTAGAGCTATCTGTTTTGTTGTTGCTCAGTTGTTGCGTGGACATTATTTATTTTGTGGAACTGAAAGAAAGTGGTCGCCTGTCTAATCATCAGTAAATATTTCCGGCTCTCAGATTAGACATCAAGGAGAGGAAGGGAAAACTACACACTCATTACAGTCAGAAGTTTAGAAAGATTGACACACTTTCCTCCTCAGGTTGCATCAGAGTTATGAGTGTGCAGTCTATGCGTTGTAGTCTGTCACCCAGAATTTTGCTGGATGTTAAAATGATGTTTCTCAGGGACAGCAGATTGGGCAACTAAGTCAGATGGTGAGCTTTAATAATATGTATTACTGAATAATTACACTGTTCACAAAACCAAAAATCAGTGTGAAGTCACTTAACCTCTTCTTCCTGTGTCCCCTCTGACCTTTTGTGTCCCCAGGCACTTCATGGGAATGAATTTGGATGCCCTCAACAGCACAGTGAGCAGACACCTGCAGGCCTTGCTGAAAGCTGAGATGCCTCAGAACCGGAAAGACTGGAAAAAGGAGGGACTGTTTGACTTCTCTTACAGTTTACTCTTTAAGTATGAAAGAGCTCCTTCCTCCCACACACACACACACACACACACACACACACACACACACACACACAACTATGTCAAAAGAGGCATGTGTTCATGTATGTCAAAAGCCTTCAGCTAAACAGTTTACACACCAGTCAATCCTGAGGTCTTCTGTTTGTAAACATGGCAAGAAAAATGTAGGATGACATTTTCAGAGCAGCCTTTCACACAAGTTCAGTGTAATCTTTCCGGTTGAGCATGAGGCTCATTTTGGCAGAGCGGATGTAAATGCAATATGTCACTGTTTCTCAAGCTAAGAGGTATCACCAATGGAAAAAAAAGCAGATAAGTTATGTGGAATCTGAAACATTATATGAGAGTAATGTTTACTGTGACATGTTGACATTCACCATGACGAGAGACGCCATGTTGCGCAGTTCAGTGGAAAATACCAGTTGAAAAGGCATCGCTCGTGTTTGATGTGTGCTTTCAAAGGCAAAGAGTGTGTGAGCTGGTTATATCTTTCCATCAAGACAGGGAGGGTTGCCATCTGTCATACAAAAAGTCCTGCACATTCCCACACTTTGTGTCTCTCCTTCTCTCTGCAGGGCGGGGTACCTGACGCTGTTTGGAGGAGAACAGAACAACAACAGCTCGGATCCGTCAAGTGTCTACGAGGAGTACAAGAAGTTTGATGGTCTCTTAACCAAAATGGCAAGGGGCACACTAAAGCCAGGTAAGAACAGAAAAAACACCTCCCAGCTAATACATAACTTCCCGTAACTTTTGAAATTTCTGATCAGCTTATCAGAAGCTGAATTCAAAGACGCTGCACTTGTCTGAAAGCACCATTCTCTGTCTAAACACACCAGTCATTGATGAAGTCGCCTCCATCAAGCGTAGATCATCAGCATTACAAACCATGAGTCAGAAAAGGTGCTTCAATTGTCCTCACTGTTTACATTTGTCACTGTGCCTCAACTAATGTGAGCTGACATCATTACATCATGGATTTGTTTTGTGGTTGCCATGTTGACATTCACTTACTCAGTTGCTTACATAGCGTCTCAAAGTGTGTTGTGCTTTTGAGGACTTTTACGATTCACCGTCATCACCATCATCACCAACTTGTGCTGGTAGCTCCCTTCACTATCACAAAATGCACCTGATTTCCCCAGGCCTTGTTTGTGTGTCATCGTTTGTAACTAAATCTTTGTGGAAATCGGCCAATTACAATATTATTGCGCACCGCCTACAGATGTGCCTGTCGCACCTGAAATATTGTTCCACTCCCCTCTCGTAGACACAATCATATCTGCTTACATATCATTTCATTCATCGACATTCACATTGAGCAAAACTATTTATGATTTGCCTGTGACTCACTCACTCACTTAGTGATGTTTGTTTGTGTGTGACAGAGGAGAAGAGGACAGCCCACAGTGTTCAACAGAGACTGTGGGAGCTTTTGGCTCCAGCCGGTCTGACTGAGGACTCGGGGTCGAGCCCTTGGCTTCATGGCTACAGGCGTCTCCTGCAGGAGGAGGGGGCCGATGAGGACACGCAGAGGAAGGCCATACTTATGCAACTGTGGGCCACGCAGGTGAGTTACACTTCAGAAGAAAGGCATTCTGTCTGTACAAAGCAAGAATTTCTGGTGATCACATCTAGAGATAAGGTAACTTGCCCGATGACTCAGATGAACCTGATGCCCCGATGTCTCTGTCCCACATGAATTCAAAGAGACCAAGATAAGGACATACAGTAGCGATGCGGTGCTCTTGTTTGCCACATGAGTGCGCTGTACACCTCCGCTAGTACTTAGTCTGCGTCATGGTCTGTGTCTGTGGGCGAACCATGGAGGAGATTCAGGATAAGAAAATATAAAATTGTACAGTAATTGAGGGCAGTGTCAGTGGTGGGGCAACTTTTTATTGGTGTTGAACTTCAAATTGTCCAAACAAAATCCTTTAATCCTTGGTTTGATGTAGGTTTAAAGGTTCGGTTGTGCAGCAGTTTGAACATCTACCTGCATCTCTTCCCATCTCAGAAAAATCAGTTGATAATTTTACATTTACAAGACAAAAAGCAGGTTATTGGCTCTATTAGTTTGTCTTGAATGGGACTGGAGTTGGTCTTACTCATCATCAAAGACATTAATCAGAAGTTTACTTCAACATTTGCTTTACCCTGTAGGCTGATTACTCATCCTTTTTTTGCACTTGTCACTGAAGGTTCTTTCCATTTGATTACGAATTTTGAGTCATAACTTTTAGTTATCTCTTCGTCACATTTTCAATATCCTTAAAACTTATAGTCATGCAATAGTTTAATCACAGTCAATATTGTTCTGTGTCTACATGAGGCCTTTGATACATCTGCCTGTCTAAATCTGGTTAATGTCATGTGAGGCATCTTCTGATAGATACACAAGTTCTATCATCAGCAGTGTTTATGTTCAATAAAGTAATCATTCATTACACTTTGTAGTGTATTATGCAGTTGCTTAACAGGCAATTTCAAGGTAATTTATTCACTATGTTATGGTTCCATAGTGTTCAATATTTTATGTTTCTACTGGCAGACAGTACTGTGGTTGGCCATAAAATTGAATAGCTTCAATGTCCTGCCCTTGGATTCAGGCAGATGGCAGGGGACCTCAGGTTTCCACTGGCTTTCCTTTTTAAGTAAACCATTATCACGCTGTGCTTTGCCAGAAGTGAGACTATCCAGAGCATGGCTCTCCTCACCCAAACACATGAAAGGAATCTGTTCTTTTTAATCTCGCCAGCACCTAACATTCATTAGGCTTTTTGATTTAATTGAACTGAACTTTAATTAGAATTTGTGCTTCGTTGCATCTCCAACAAAAGATAGACACGAATAGTATGAATGTAATGTGATGTTCTTATTTGCTGTTACCAAATAACCACCTGTGCTGTCACTATGCAACACCGGAGTGTGAGAGCCAACCTTATCATTGCGCTTATGTGAGTCTTTGTTTGTTTCCAGGGTAATGTTGGTCCTGCTACATTTTGGCTGTTGGGCTACTTGTTGACAAACCCTGAAGCTCTGATGGCGGTGAAGAGGGAGTTCAGCCAGATCTCACAGATGGAGACCTCAGAGACTCCTCTCACGGACAGACTTATGAACACCCCTGTGTTTGGTGAGGGCTTGATCCCAGCTTGTGTAAACAGAGGAACATTTATTGGTTGTTTGTATTGTTAGCAAAATGAAACCTGGAATAACAGACAGTGTTATTATTATTATTCAGTATGTAAATGCATAAAATCACAAATTAGTGCAAGAGGCCTTGAAGAGAGAGAGCTGGGCCAATCAAAAGCATCAATATTTTACAAAATAAATCAAAAGATTAGCTATTGATGAATCCAAATTAGACCCATTGTGCTGTAACTAAACATCATTAAAGTGTCAAAGTACATAAAAATTTGTATCAAATATTTGTGAACAAAAATATTGCTGCTCGTTTACAGTTAATACATTGTTTCTCCCTCTCAGGTAGTGCTTTGGAAGAGGCATTGAGACTCACTGCTGCCCCCTTCATCACCAGAGAGGTGGTGAAGGAAAAGACCCTCCACATGGCTGATGGCCAAGAGTACCTGCTAAGAAAAGGAGACAGGATGTGTTTGTTCCCCTTCATCAGCCCTCAAATGGACCCTGAGATTTACCACGAGCCACAGGTTTGTTGTAGCGTCTTGTTAAAGTAATAGCCATCGCGTTTCCAACCTCTCCACTCCATCAAAACCTTCCTGTGCTGCCAGCAGGAATAGTAGTAATTGTCTTAGGGACTAGTTGGAGGCAGACTTAAGTGCAATTAGCATGTGTGGTTGTTTATATAAGGTGGAATCAACGCCTACAAATCTGACCCTGTATTACCCAGTGAGAGGTCAAACCCAGAGCTGCCGACAACTGAGGGATTAGCCATGTATGAGAACAGAAACACAGCTAATAGGCGTGGGAAGGACATTGCAAGTTTGCTTTAAATGAAATCTGTCCACCAGAAATTAGACAAACAAATATATGTAATGTGTCATCTCTCATTGCTTGCATCTAATGTCTGCTTCCAAAAAAAAAAAAAATGTGTTTCCTTTCCAGAAGTACAAGTACGATCGCTTCCTGAATGAGGATGGATCAGTGAAGAAGGATTTTTATAAAGGAGGGAGGCGGCTGAAATATTACACCATGCCATGGGGCGCAGGGACCAATGGCTGTGTGGGAAAGCAGTTTGCCATCAATACCATCAGACAGTGAGTGTCCTAGAGTTAGTGCACCATGTAACTTTACTGTTGGTTAAGATCTCAAAATGTTCCACGGTGGCGGAGTTTTGTATGTTTTGCTGTTCTAATTTTGGGTTTCATCTGTGTTTACTCTTCAGGTTTGTTTACATGGTGTTGACTAACTACGATTTGGAGCTGTGTGACCCAAATGCTCAGATGCCGGAGGTAAATGCCAGTCGTTATGGATTTGGGATGCTACAACCAGAGGGGGACTTGCTTGTCCGATATAAATCGAGGAATACACACTAGGTCTTTAAAGACAAACAAAACACACATCTTTTATGTACATTTCAACACATGCACATTGTTGTTAATATTCCCTTTGTACTTTTATATACTATATTTATATCAAACAGTATATAATTATTTTTGTTATTTATCAATAAATGTAAATAAGACATTGTGTATAATCTTGTGTTGTCACATTTTTTTGGGTGTATTTTGGTACAATGATTGGTCCATTAAAGCCACATGTTTGCTCAGCACCGTACATTATTATTCTGTGAGGAAAACTGAAATAATAAGACATTGAATACTTTTTCTTTTTTTCTTTTTTCTGAACTATAAAAAGTTAAGCACTCGAGCACGGTTCTGTATGTTAAATAGAGAGCGTGAGCATAATGAGGGGACTGCCTGTACTGTAAACAGAGCCAGCCACACATCTGTCACACTGACACACGCCTGCTGTTTGCAGAGTGAAGCTGAATGGAAAGTTTAGATTTATCTGTCGTTTGGAAAGCAGCTCATCACTTACCAGCAGGAGCAGATTCACCATAGACCACAGATTGTAAGGTATTATGCAGGTTTTTTGATGGAACAACACACAACTAATTTCTACTCAAATTTTTAGCATTTCTGTCCATTCAAATCATGTATAAGCCATGAATGGTGTTCTGATTAAAAGAGACATATCAAAGTTATGGCACAGTCATGGACAGAGTTAGGCCTCAGTGAATTTGGCTTTGGTTTAATTGAGTCTCTTAAACGTTGAGTCCTGTGGTGTGGATTAATGAACCTGAGTGTGTCATGGAACCAAGGTTGTCTCTGCCAAGTCTGAATTATAGGCAGACTCTTACACAGACTTCCTTAAGATCAGATATTGTGTTTCACTATCACTATTTCCTAGTTTGGTATTCACAGGCTGCCATCCAGGGCAGTGGGTTGACTATGTAGTGCATCTTCATACTTTCTTTAATCCCCCTTTCCTCTTGAGACATATGGTGTGTTTAGATAGATAGATAGATAGATAGATAGATAGATAGATACTTTATTTATCCCCTAGGGGAAATTCATGACTTAGTGGCCTTACTTCAAATTTGATCTAAAGTAATACTCCTAACATTGATGCATAGTAAGCCTTTAGTAACTATGTAAACACGATTGTAGTTCGATGAGTTCTGGCCAAGGATGTGAACTCCTCATTGTTCACATACCACTGCTGCACCGAGCATAAATTCAGTGTGGACGAAGTGAGCTGTGGCTCGCTGGCTCTGTGAGGGTTAAACTCACACAGTCTGCGCCGCTGGAGGAGCCTCGGTGAAATCAGCCCCTGCAGGATCCCGTTCACAGTCACAGGCGCCGGCCAGCACGCACACTCACACTGAGAGCAGGTGGAAGAGAGGCAATCGACACTATTCCCGGCTGCTCTCCAGAGTTTACTTGTTGAATCGCCCCCAGGAGGAGGGGTGGACAGGGCAGACTGGACATGGGGATATCTGTGTAAAACAGTTCTATTTTCCCCCAACATGTCGGTAGGTAGCTCAGGATGCCTCCATCAGCTCCCCACAGAGCACTGGAGACCTGGAGGGACCTAACAAGTTTAAACGTGTTCACTCTCTTGAAATGTTGCGGAGGACCGTCCATGAGGTGAATCGGGATTCACGGGAGTTGCGTATGTATCATATTTCTTTATTCTTTGAATCTATTTTTAGCTTCATTTTTATAAGCAACATGGCTTTGTAACCTTCTTGGTTTCACTTGTTACTGTCCTGTCAGTATTTGGCGTATCTGGACACCATCGCACTATTTACTACTGTCAAGTGATGTAGTTATATTTAAATACACATCCCCAAAATACACTTGTGTTGCATGACTCACTCATGCGCAAAATAATGTAGTTATTATGGCATGTTTGCTTCAGCTAAAATTAACTTTATACATTATTGTAATTGTTCCTCTTTTGAAAATAAATTGTGATCATGTAAACGTGGACAAATAACACCATGAAGTTGTGAGACTGCTCTACAGACTGCTTTCAGGCGGTGGTGACATAATATGTTGTGGGCTCTTAATCAAAGTTGATAATCGGTGTTAGTATTAGTCCAGATTAATATCCCTCTGAAGAACAGTTCTGACACACATTCGCCTTTGGATCGATCTCTGTCCCACGCGAGAAACGAGACGTTTCAGCACCAGAGTCCGCGGACAGCGACAGACACCGGTGGGTCTGTGGAGTGACAGACAGGCGCTTCAGCACCGGGACAGCGCTCACAAGTGGAGTCCAGTTTATCATTGGCCAGGCTCTCTCACCCTTGTCAGCAAGAAAAGCGGCTGTGCGTCTTAAAGCTGATTAAAATATCTATTTGCTTCTCTGATGAGTGGATAAACCACCTGACATTGCTGCTGTAGGACACCGGCCTCGGCTGCTCCAACAGCGTCTAAATAATTTCTCTTTTCTTTTTGTTCCAGCCACAGGAAAGGTGGAGGGACCCTGATGCGGTCTTCGACAGGACCATGTCTTCTTAATCTGCCACGCTCTTCCAGTCTTTCCAAGTGACCGAGTGACTTGAGTGAAGATGATCAAAACGGGCTCTCGGCCGGCCACCACGCTGCCACCGGATACGATGGACATCATCCGTAGCAAGACCCACTCCCGTCGAGTGAGACTCAACGTCGGGGGCCTTCTCCACGAAGTCCTGTGGAGGACACTGGACAGGCTGCCCCGCACAAGACTGGGGAAACTGAGAGACTGCAACACCCACGACTCTATCATGGAGATATGCGACGACTACAGCTTGGATAACAACGAGTACTTTTTCGACAGACACCCAGGCGCCTTCACCTCCATCCTGAACTTCTACCGCACCGGAAAGTTGCACATGATGGAGGAGATGTGCGCCCTGTCTTTCAGTCAAGAGCTGGACTTCTGGGGCATCGATGAGATCTACCTGGAGTCCTGCTGCCAGGCCAGGTATCACCAGAAAAAGGAGCAGATGAATGAGGAGCTGAAAAGAGAGGCCGAGAACATGAGGGAGAGGGAAGGAGAGGTGTTTACAACCACATGCTGCTCCGAAAAGAGGAAGAAACTCTGGGACCTCCTGGAGAAGCCAAGCTCATCATTTGCTGCCAAGGTAATGTCAACCTCAGCATTTCCCCACTGCCACACTGCCTGGGCAGATCAAGTGAAAGCAGTAGGTAATCTGAGAGAGGGCAGCACTGGCATACAGCCAACAGGCCTGTATTACCCAAGTTTTAAATAATGATTCCTCTATCTAGACGTGCAAAGAAGGTTGCTGAGTATGAGGTTCTAATGAATGCGGTTTAAATTTAGAAAATAATTAGAGATGAAAACAAAAAAGAACAACAAAAAAAAGACAGCATGAGAAATTCAGTTTAACACCCAGAGGCTGGCATACATCTTTCTTTGAGACCAGCTTGATCTGATGTCTGACTTTCTTTGTACCTGAACCAGTGCTTTTAATCTGTCACTTCAGCACCTGGAGTACAGGGGGTGGGGAGGGTGGGGTGGGTGGGGTGGGTAAGGACAGATAGATAGAGAGATGTTGTTGTACCCAGAGGTGAATGTCAAAGCTGTCTGCAAAGTTTTGCTTATTCATCAGTGTGTACTGAAAAGTATAAGTTTGGAAATTAATTTTGTTACTCCACTTGAGTCAATAATCTCAACTAGGTGCGCCTCCCTGAGACAAAAAGATTTCGGTGCTGCATTTCTGGGGAGTCAGAACCTTTTTTGTTGTTGTTGTTGTTGTTGTTATTGTTTTTTAGATGAATACATGACAGCCTTCATTGTCTCCCTTTATTGGTTTCAGTCAGATACTTGTTCCCATAACAGCATAGTCTGCATGTAATTCTCCTGGGGTAATTATTGAATGTTTGTTTTTCATTGACAACACCAGAGATGATGAAAGGGGTGACATTGTTAAGGAGTTTAATACATGTCAGGATTGCAAGAAACCTTCCTGCACAATAGGTATATTTTTAGACTGTCTAATACCCACCACCACCCTGCACACCTTTTCAACAGTCACCCCCCCATCTTGGCTTCATTAGCCACCCCTGCCTCATTTCCAGTGCAGTATTCAATCATCCAGCTCATTAACAGGCTCATAGCTCACACTCCAGGAACCAGACTACTGCACTTTGCTGGATCAATGGATGTAGTCATGTTAACAGCATTCTTAAGTGAGCTAACATTACAAAAGATGTGACTGGGTCAATATTCAATTACAATGTTAAATAACTACCAAACTGCATTTTACCAACACAACAACTGTTTGGGGAGTCTGCACATTAAGAGACATTGACCTTTCAGTCACTCTACATTTACCAGGGAAAGAGAAAAAGAAAAGTTCAATAAATTATGTCAAGGTATGATTTTTTTTTTCAGATGTGTCATGGTTGTATCACAATTCAAAATGTCTGAAGATGTCACATTTCTGTGAACACATGACTTCTTGCTAATTATTCCAGAAAGAAAAGGTACCATGGTCAATTCACTGTTCAAAGAAATGTCAAACACCTCCCTGGGTTCCTTCATAATTTATTCAATTCATCAATTCAAGGTAGCTTACTTTGAATTACTGGAGCTCTTAATTATTTTTCTTAAATATTCAATCACACTGGCTCAAAGACTTGCTCCATTTCATCTCAGCACCACTGGGTTTTCTCTTTAGCTTTTTGAAACCATTAACCACAGACAATTCTTGCATCATCTAATGCTAAATTTAGATCTAAATCTAGATCTAAATCATCTAACTTTGGTATTCACGTTGACTGGCAGACCTTCTGGCAGCAGAGGAACCAAATTAGATTAACAAGAAAGCAAAGGTTGGCTTTTACCCATTCTTAATATCAAACAGTATAAAGCTGCTTCCACCTATCTCCAGGAAAATAACTGTAGTTGACACTATTAATATTCATTTTATGTCTGTTCAGCAACAATTTTGAAGATTCTGATACATCTTGTAAACCAGCACCGGAGCTTTCCTTCATCTGTCTCCTTAAATGAGCCGTGAATATACTTTTTGAGTGTTCACTGATACAGAGTTCTTCTCCAACTTTACGAGGTACACCTAGCTAAAATATGATCGTATAAGGTGCCCTGCAATAATTACTATCCTCACAGAACTTACCAAATTCAGGTTTTGTTGAGGT